TCCACTCTGAGAGCTAGTGAACGCCACTCTAGCCCTTGGAGTAGTTGAAAGTTGTTGGAACTTATTACATATATGAATAGAGTACTTGTACGAGAATCGTTGGTCGGCTAGCAGAACGGCTTAGTCAACAAGAACATGAACGAACATTAGGTGGGAAGGAAGGCACGATGAACAAGTCGGTACATGTAACATACATTCGCGCTCAGCTTCCAGCTAACATCGGGTAGTCGAAGTCAAACAAAACTCAATTCACACATATCTGCCCTTCATGTCTGTGGTGCGCTCATGTACCAAGTTTGTTGCGTCCAAAAATTTTATCATAGTCAACTTACTTCTGTTGTTGCGTTTGTATGTTCTTATGTTGCTTAACAGAGCATTTAACTTCTTCAAATGAAAAAGAAATGTATGTGAACGAGGGAGGTTTTGTTCTATGCGATATTCACACAAGCATCTAGCAAAAAAAAATCTATATTTTTTGTTCTCCGCGGCAGCATAGCGTGGGTGTCACTAACAATACACCCGGAAAATAGGAAACTTGTTCAGAAAACGTATCTGCATACCTCAACCGCACGCACATGCTAACGTCTCCGCCCGATTCTAGTGTAGAGTATGTGAGTGAAACAATCCGTAATAAATGGCTTCCATTACCAAACGCCTCTTTCACCTGGATGTCGTTAGAACGCGTCGTTTTGTACAAAAGGGCGCACAACTTTTTGGGATCTCATGGGTCATGTTAACCCAATTACAAATAATATTTTAAATACTCATGACATTAACGTTTCTCACGCGCATAACACCAACCTTTATATTAGTATTGACTTGTTGAACTCTTAATCTTTGGCGCATGTTGTATATGTCGTGGTGGGTATTGTACATACGATCTTTTGCGACAGAATTGCGGCGTTGATGGGCCCAAGAAAGGAGGATTTTGACGCGAAGCGAAACCCGCGCTGGTTCTGTCAACGCCTGTGAGTTGTAAGCCTCGAACGGGGGTGGCGTGGTGACGAAGGACGAGCGTCAATGTGTATATTTCATTCGGTTCGGAATTACCTGATATATTGGCGTGCGCGCGCGCCGTTGTCGCGCCGCCGGATTTGCGATCACCTTCCGCAGGAATGCGCCGTGGCTGTTTGTTAAATAGACACGGAATCCAATGGAACAACTGATTAATTAGTCAGGACGTTTTGTGTTCATAGCGGAACGTTAACGTGAAGCTGCCACAACCTACACTTAGCTTTCGCAAATTTGTCAAATCATACTGAATGATCCGAGTGTACCTAAGAGTTTTAATTAACATTCCTATTTGGGCAATATTCTGGGTGAGCTTCGATTGCGAGCTGACAAAAAAGAACTCCGCTTAGGTTGTGGTATATGTAATTACTTTAATGCACGCATGCGGTGGAGATTAAAAATGTGATCAATATTATTTCGGTCTGGAATGTTTAGCAATCTCGTAATGGTATTAATTCATTTCGGGTTCAATGGTGTGTGGAAATGTATATAAAAGAAGTCAATCTCGATCGGGTTTTCGTTCGGTCTAATACAGGAATGTGGAGGAATGCCGACGATCTGCTGAAAGACGCGCACAAATATGGAAATCGCGAAAGCGTTTTGCTGTAGGTTAGAAGTGTTGAGGGTGGGCATGTCGTCGATGTGTGGGGAGCGAAGGTAGGACTGCGAAATGCGAGCGAAATAAACTGGAAACTAGGGAGAACGCTGGTGAATGGTGAACGTGGGGAAAAACGACGGTATTATCCCATCAGATTCACAATAACAAAACGTAATCGAACGGAATAAAAAATCGTCAACAGGATTTCGTATTTTTTATATGTATACATTACATATAGAGTGTTGAAAATAAGATTGGCGAACAAATCAAGACTGAAGAGTTTATATTTGCATAATAAATAGCTCTTGGTAATAGATACAACTATCTCGTGAATTTACTTTTAGAATACTTTACAATCATAGATAATCATAGATTATATACGAGGATGTTTTGCTCGTTCTGTGGACCTCTTGTAATAGAATTTTTGCGGTAAATTTACAAGAGAAAATCTACAGTTTCGTCGTTTTTGGCGCACTTATAATTTGTCCTGCGGTCTCCCCGATCGAGATTCATGAATCTGTTTCTACAAACCCGGCGGAGTTAACCGTGCACAACAAAGACTCGAATATAGCTGACAGTTGATATACGAATCGATACCCAAATCAGCAATATTGTCAACTAGTCAACTATAAGGATGAAATTACTTTATTTTTACACTTAACAAACAAATAGTTTTAATTATAAGCGTGAAGTACATATAATGTGAACAAGGATTAATCGGTATACGAGTGTCAAGAGGTGTAGTTCACTTGGTTACTTAAAAAAGATGAATCGACGAGATGATGGCGACGTTATAGTTTAATTAAGATGCTGTTAACCTTAGCCTGAGACTCGACGCGACAGAAGAGCGAGTGCTAGTCGCCGGATTTGTACGCCGTCGACGAGCCTTTGTGTGCAAGGATAATGCAGTACGCCTTGTTTACAACGTCCTTTCTCGACTACCCTCTAACGCTGACAAATGATGTGAAACGCTACATCCAGATTAAACATGTTTCGGGTGTAGCGAACCGTAACTACTACAACTGGAACAGGGCGACACTGCGCTTCCGCCGGCGTGATCGCCGAACGTGCTCCCGGCGCCGCCACTACGCGAACCAAACGGGCGCGTCTCAAGAGGACGCCCGAACGCCCAAAATGTTTGATGTATCGACTGCGGAGGAGGGCGCTTTCGATGAGGGAAGGCCCTTGCGCAAACAGACTTTAATTACTGCCCGCCACCGGACGGTGTTTAACCCCATCGTCGGCGACACCGTGTCCGTGTCGGACATCGGAGCAAACATCGACGGTGTCAGCGGGCGTTTGCTTTCAATTTCCGAGCTTCGCTGTCTTGTCAAAGCTGAGGATGAGGACGATCTCCAGCGGGATGAGACTGATGGGGAGAGCCAATCGTGCGTAGGAAATTCCAGCTTGTCTGTTCATACTCTTTGCGGGCATTATTAGTGTGGTCTTTATAGAATTGATGCCGGTGGGATTTACGCTAGTTTGGGACTTGTTGCGTTGTGCAAATGCTTTGATTCATAAAAAAAGCACTGTGATTGATCACAGCTTTGTCTAAGGTTAATTATTATTTCTCCGTTGATGGGTGATTCTTTGAACAATGCAAGATTAGTCAGCAGAGTGAATAGTCAACGGGTGAGACCACATCAATTATACTCTGATTCAAAGCGAAAGCTTTTTGCATATTATATTCGCGCGTTTTTTTTTGTGTGTGTGTTAAAGTGTGAAAATTTAAATGCGTAGCGACGCGTCGAAAATGTGTCGCGTGTCGTGCCACTTTAAGTAACGCGCAAGATGATGATCCCGATAGCGACAGTTGATGGTGATATAGGGCGAAGATCATGAATAAGTCAGTGAAGTTTCTTTCCCGCCATCGCTCTTTTTCCCTTTTCCTGCGTGCCGACCTCGACGACCCGCCGCTCCGAGTCGAAGCAACGCCCCTCCTGTCAGAATGCATTTCTGCCGCAGGTTCGACACAAATGTAAATAAATATCGATGTGGTGACTGCGGGGTGCAAGGGCAGAAGTGTAACCGTGCACGATCGGTTTGTGATGGTGTACCTAATGTGTGTAATTTCGACTGTAACACCGCCAACAACCCTCCTGCTGGTTTGCTGCTATGTTAGAAGTTGATGCCTGATGCGGGATATCAGATTTAGAAACCAGAAACGGGTAATTCACCGAGCGGAACCGGAAATGTTGAACGCGCGCGCCGCCACGACACGGACGTCGCCGGCGCGCTCCCATATCTTCTTCTAGGCTCGTTACTTGCAACTTGTCGCACCGGAAGTGGGGTGTCTACAACTACATTTCCTCGTAATTTTTGGAGCTAGTTCACGCCATTTTTTACGTAGTGGAAACCTAAAGTGAAAAAATTATTAAAAGTGAGAACAAAATTGCGTGGCATAAATGTGCCGCCTTTATTAACTAATTAGCAATTAGGCACTCCGATGGAGTGACACCGAAAGCGACCAAACCTTTATAAATAAGAGCGAAAGAGTCGAATTTCATTCGATCCGGAACATAGAATCTTTCCAAAGTGTGCGAATCTATCCAATCTACTATTGCCACCGGTGTTACGAAATGAATAAGAAAACGAATACACGGAATGAAGCGGACGTAACCAACGCCGGGAAGAAGAAGGCAGTCGTCGAAGGAGGTTTTCGTCTTCGATAAAACGCGGACGCGAACTCGACTATCTTAATTGGTCTTGCCAGATATACGTTGGAAGTGCATTAAGAACTTGGGAAATAATTTATTTCTCGTGTCCCCGGCGATACCGCTAAAACTGAAGAAACCGCTACGCACCGCCCTTGTATTCTATATCTCCAAGCAGTATATCGGCTTGAATCCGTCTTACCCTCAACCCTGAGTCCTGAGGTTTTATTTAAATTCGTTCCCATTTTTCTCGTCTGTGTTGGTACAGCCGCTTCGGTTTGTTTGCATTTGCATTTCTTCTAAAATTTATCGATTTACTTTAACTGCGCCGGGAGAAAGCGAGAAAAATAATTTTAAATATTGCCGCCGCATCGAACCAGCTTTTTGCATTATAGCGCAGTATGTACCTACATGTTAACATGGCAATGTGACATTTTATTTACATCCACAAACAAAATGAAATTTGTTTAACGTCGAATTAGAGCCGACATGTCGCTATAGATACACGGTGTGATGATATTCATTCTTCATGTCTGCACGTGTGCTGGTGCAAATTATGCTCGCATTTGGCATAAAATATTCAACATTTTCATGCACGTCATTTAACATCTACCTCTATGGCTGCGATGAAAATGACTACAAATGACGTCGTCGTATGTGCAACTGTTCGCACATTTTTCATTTGTTTCAATTTGGCGGTTTGAAATGAATTTTATAAATTGTTTACTTTGTTGCAGAAGTAAAAGGACAATCATCAAAAATGGCTAGTCACACATTTCTCCTGCTGCTGCTGCGAATGAGCGTCCTGCTGGCGGTAGTTACTGGTTACAAGGAGCAAAAGTTTGCGATGCAGCCTCAGGACCAGACGGCGGTTGTCGGCTCCAGAGTCACATTGCCGTGCAGGGTAATCAACAAGGGCGGCATGCTGCAATGGACCAAAGACGACTTTGGTCTTGGCACGCATCGCAATCTAAGCGGATTCGACCGATACATGATGATTGGAAGCGACGAAGAAGGTGAGTGTGTTTCTTTCATTTTGCTTCTTTACTTTGAGCATTTTCTACACCTACACTATGAAAAATCTATGCGCTATTCAAATGTTTGCTGTTTGCTTTTGAAATATCTCGAACGGCATGCGACGCCTTCGAGCGATGTGGCTTTGCGAAAAGCGAACGAAAAAAGTAATGAATTAAAAGTTTCCGGCTTTGGCGCGTCGGCGGCAGACTGCTGCTGGCTTTTCTTTTTATGCGCTTTTTCGTTCTTCGTCTGATGCATTCGAAAGGTACTCGCGACGCGTTTACTGGTGGGGAAAATCGATCGGATAAGGCGCGATCCTTATTAAAAAAGAGGCGCAATATGCTGATGAGACGATAATAATAATATTTTTTGCCGCTCGCCGTACGGCATTCTCATCCGGAATAATCTTTGCCTATACTACTTATGTTGCGCTCCACGCTAGACAATGCAAGACAAATGATATCCATTCGCTAGCGCCCGCGCGAGCACTCTTTGTGCAAGAGGAACGAAACCAAAGGGAGCGAGCGGTAGCGACTATGACGTCTGACGACGGCGAGGAGGCCGATTGTCGTTGTGGTAGTCGCGTCGAGAGGACGCGGGCGATACGCGGCTAGATGCTCTGAGACGCGAAGTGCTTTTTAAGAGTGCACAAGAGCCGAATCCACTTCTCATATATCAAGCACCCTTTAGTGGTTCCTCGGTGACATGTGCCCCCCGTTTGCCACGAGTCGCACAAATACTGAAACGGGCTAGTAGTGTTATATACTGGTGGTGCAGGCGCCGTTCTATAACCAACAAATATAATCATATTAATATGTTCAATCTGGCGTCACGTATTTGATGAAGTTGAAATTATATAAAATGCATGGCGCGCCGGCGGCGTGGTAGCTTTGAATCGTGTAAATTTTCCCTTTGTGGTTAGGGAATGACTCCGCGGGAAAAGCGCATGCACTGTCCGCGTTGAATAAAATATAACATCGCGTATTGCACAATATACGTGTGTAAAAGGGCAAAAAACGTCGCGGCACTACCCAACACTACCGAAGACGGAAATATTGGTGTGCATACTTGATGTCAGTCTGAGGGTCGGGCCGCGCTCGCCGCCCCCAGTGGAATGGGTGCACTTAAAGTTCTTTGTTTCGCATGTCTATATGTCTACTCAAAAGTCTAAAGCTTTAAAACCCTGAGGCATCGCGGCGTGCAAACCTAGCGTAGAGTGGCTGGATGAAAACGAAACACTACTTGCTTGCATTGCGAACGCTTTACGTCAAATTGCAAACGTTTTAATTAAAATATTAGTCTTTTGCTGTGATGCGCGCGCTCACATACAAGGCGCTCTAACGTATAGCGACGGCGGTCGCGGCGCTCGTTTGGAAAACACCGCTCGGAAGTTGTGGAAACGCTAAATTGATTTAAAACTTGTCATATTAGTCGAGTGCATGGAAAAGTTTTGCACTAATGGCCCAAGTTGCCATCGTGCACTGTGAAAAGGAAGCTCAACTGTAACTACCATTTAGTGCAGGATATTTAACTTTTCGATACGGTCTTCGTACATTCATATTCGTCAGGAATCAAATTCATGATGAATTATTTGCAACACAGTAGGTACTGTGAACTTAATTTATTTTCTGCATACTTTCGACAAATACTTTTTATAATAGGAAATCACAGCATTTCTTTTTAATATTTACTTGATAAGGCGTTATAGTTAAATAAAATTATTTTAATCAAATAAATATGTTTGTTGGTGTACATCTCTACATTAGAACGTCAATAATTCAGTTTGACCTGCATTTCCTTAACATTTCAATGTCTCATGATGAATTGATGTAGGTAGATCGAAATTGAAGTTTCTGGGCGATTGAGAATCGTTCTATTTATGCCAGAGTCCCACCTCCATTCGACCAGTTTGCATTCCAGTACTCAACAATACCCGTTGTACTTCTACGTTGACATATCTTTCTTTATTCTTGAGGTGAATAACATTAGACCTCGCAGGAAGCATTACTGAAGTAGTAGTTTTCGAAAGTGCATTTTATAAAGCCTAAATGATTAGTATCGATTTGACGATGAAAATGTTATTTGAAGTGATTTATGAGTGGTACTTTCCAATGATAAAAGTTTTGAACAAAGAACTTTTTAATCACAACTCATTTCTATATGCCATTCACTTATAACGCGTATGATATAGTAAATTTTAAAGCAGTTGCTTTTAATCTTTTTATGCAATAGATATATATTTTGATATAACTGAACGAGGCAAGAAACATATTTACCATGATCAACAACTCGATGAGGTGCGCTCGACGCGAAAAATAAGTTTAACTTGGTTTTATATCCTTAAAACATTAATGAAATTGGTGGTCGGTCATTCGGGGGTGAGTTGAAAAGTTTGCCAACATTATTTTAATTAATGTTTCCAACTATTTTATGTTTCGGTGCTGCTTCTGTCTTAATCTAGCATAGAAAATCAGTGTTTTATATTTCGGTCTTACGACCATCACCAACATGAGCAGAGCACTATCGTTTCGAAAGTTTGAAATTAACACTTTTTTTCGTAATTATTAACTTGAACATACGACCGAAAGAATGCCCGAGGGCAATATACTTCGACAAGACTGTTGGTTCTGTGTTTTTCAAAAATTTAAGGGGCGGGGGAATGGGAAATTGTGTTTATTTTTGAAGGGTGGATATTTCCCAGTGAGCTCTTGTACCTCTTGCAACACTTGCCCACTTACTTCTGCTTGTTTTGTGCTGCTTCCTTCGTTCCATCTTTCCACACCTAAAGTTTTGCAACAACTTCGGTCTGGATATTAGATTAGCTGAAAAACAAATAACTACGAAAGATCTCGGCCGGGTACTTTTAACTTCGTCTCATAATTACTTAAGTACATATAATAGTCCTTCAAACACTTTGTAATTGAATTTCCTCATTTTGCTTGTTCGTCTTTGTTGCAAACCATCATATTGTGGCATAAAACTCAATCTCATTGAAGCAAAAGTATATTAATCTAAAGGAATCTTATACGCAGAAAGTATTATCAACTGGGTTAAAGCACAAAAGATGTCATATTCTATGCTAGCGAAAGTCCTGACACTAGGACTTTAGTATGAATGGAACACATAGTGATGACGAAAACTGAGTTTAATAGAAGATGGACTAGAAAGCAATCGCAAATTGTTGATATTTCCTGTCGTTCGGTAACGCTTGCTTCGCCGCAAGCCAATAATGTTAGACCAACAGGCAGCCTCGTCCTAACCGTCTCGCATCGCCATACTCCACAACAGACAGGCTCCCTGCATAGACACATCTTATGGTAAAATGCCCCCGGAGATATCGAGGTAACGTTCCGCATCGTGGTACATACGTAAACACTGTACGCACGCATGCAGGCTCGACTAGTTTGAACAAGGACTCTGTCGGTGACTCGGGGGGCGGCAGGCGCGCTCGCCTAGGGTTAACCTTTGACACAACATGAGAAAGTTCACGTCCTATCACGATTGTCTTGCTCCTTGCTTTGCGTTCGCTCACAGTTAACATTCCGCTGTGCCCTGTATCCCTTCAGGCAAAATCTCGTGCGTGTAACGTTCAATGTGAACATTTTTTATTCGCACACTCAGCGTCACTGTGGAATCTTGGCTCCCCAGCGAGAATTCTTTTCCATGTCCTGTGTCCGGATGATAGCATAATACACTCAACGAGAATAATCGTCGTATGATTTCCTACAAGCGTATTAACATATAAATAATGTCGTAAAAATTGAATTACCCATTTCAAGAGTCATTGTGTAGGTACCTATTATATTTATTTTTCATGAGGTGTTTTAAATCGTTTGCAGTTTTATTTTTTCCGTTAACACCCGAACGTCCAAAGATGATAGGAATTGAAAGTTTAAAAATGTATTTCTGGTGCGCGCGGTGAGTCAGATTTATAACATAAACGAAAAGATATTAAACCATCACGCTCGTTTTGAATGGTTTGATTATTTCGAATTGGTCATAAAGGAGAATCTTTACTGCCACGTGTGATGCATTTTGTTAAATGATACGGTATAACGCCACGCGCGAGGATAATATTCTTCCATTAAACAATCGTAAACACAATATCTCTTAAAACGGATATCTGCCAGTTTTAAAACGATTCACGCACGTGGAATGCGACTGTAAGGTGGCAGAGAGCATGAACACAAAACACAACCGTTGATTATATAAATATAAACCGCCCTTTAGGGCCTCTTTCGATGGGTGTTTCTCAATAAAGTTGGCAAGTTGTAAAAATGTTCAATTTCAGAAGTTGCAGGGACCATTTAATAACAATTGTTTGATGTGTGACGAAATAGATTACCTATGCATCGACAAAATTCAATAAAAAAGAATATACAATAAATTCTCTGTTTATTTAATAAAAATTTCGACTTCTGTGGGCGAGTGGAAAACTCTACAATGCCACGATAAGGCAAATAGTTTTTGTTGTTGCGCTGCACTGCTACCATTGCTCGCTGGAGGCAGCACACACACTGAGCACATCCCAACCATTACTGTCATCGTTACTCGTGAAACGCTACTCTCGTCGCCCGCGTGCCCTGATGAACGATTACACCGCGAAACTTTGCACGGTGCGAAATTCCGAATAGCATTATGCTTTACACTCTACAACAACGGGTTAGGACGGTGCGAATATAAAGAGAGGAAGTTTAAAATTGCAGCACGGGGGAAATCGGTACATCCACGCGCCGCACGACCAACATTAATCTGAAAAGTTTGCGTCAAGCCAGATAATAATGGAAGCTTGTATTTAATAGCGCTTTCTGATATCGTTTTTAATACGCACTGGTTTACAATGTAACCTGTAACAACATATGCGTAGTGCATAGCGCGTGAATGAGACTGCGCCATGGGGCGAAAAACCCCCGAGGTTTCACCGCGTACAACTTTATGAGCTTCAAATACTTGATGCCGCCGTCAGAGACATAGGACGAACCTACTTTCTCCTGAAACTCTTTTGTTCTGTGCTACTATTTCACTCCGGTACTCGCGATACTCTGCTAGCAACCCACACTGCCAATTACATTGTTTATTCGCTGCCAATAAAATATAAAAGTTTTTGGGCCTATCGTCATACTTTTCGAAATTCGGCAAAGTTCCGAAGACGTAACTCTGGCGACAAAGTAGGGCTCGTATATTTTTGGTTTATTCCTTCGTTCGACGCACCATTTAGCCAAACCGGCATATTTTTTCGGTTCGACGGAATAATTAATGTGGTCGCTGGTAAATGGGTGGATGCTAGGGGCCGGCCGGATGACGGGGGTTACAGGGTTGGAAAATAACATCTCTATTACTATCGATCCCAAGCCGCTGTCGATTTTGAGAGGCAGACCTTCCCAAAGATGAAATGGGAAGGTGTTTATGAGGCGAGATTCATATTAAAATCAATTATGGCGCTAATAAGGGTCGATGTCGAGTGTGTTTCGGTTGTAAAATTTTCTTTTTGGCCGTCGAGATTGGTACTTCGGACCTTATGACCAACGCGACGCACACGCATGTAAACTCAACACACGCGGGAACGGTAAAGCAGTAAGTGGCGCAAGTAAAAGAGAACACCAGTAACGAGTCCATAAAAGAAACAGCTTTATTACGGTCCTCTGAAAACGCTTCGCTACCCCAGGGAATTCCATAAAGGTTAATGTTCACCTATGCGTACTGCAAGGCGTAGGTCTGGCAATTCTTTTACAAATTGCTGAAAAGACAACTATATTAACTATTCTCTTTTATTTTTATGTCATTTTTTCTTTGCGCCCAGTGCTAACATTCAATGTTGCTCCTTGGCATCTTGTATTTTATATGCCGCCCTAAACAGACAGAATACAAACATTTTTACGAGCACATTTATTTTTCCCGTGTCTGATCTGCAGAAGGAGAACAAAACAGCAACCTTCGCCAGTGATAGTAATATATTCTGCGTTCGTTTTCAGGCGATTACTCATTGGATATTTATCCGGTGATGCTCGATGACGACGCTCGATATCAATGTCAAGTGTCCACGGGGAGCGAGGGCGAGCCCGGAATACGAAGTAACTATGCTACGCTTTCTGTACTGGTCCCGCCGGATCCACCAAAAATAGTCCAAGGAGATTATTTGGTCACCACGGAGGATCGCGAGATCGAGCTGGAATGCGTCAGCCACGGTGGCAAGCCAGCAGCCGAAATTACTTGGATTGATGGAATGGGAAGTGTACTCACTGAAGGCATTGACTACATCGTCGACGAGTTGCCAGACGGCAGACGTTACACTGCGAAAAGCATCTTGAAGTTGACGCCTCGCAAGCAACATCACAATACGACGTTCACATGCCAGGCGCAAAATACTGCCGAAAGGACGCACAGATCCGCAAAACTGAAATTAGAGGTACGAAATCAATTTCCTTCGACAATTTATTTTCTGCTCCTCTTTGACAAGCCCTTTCTGCAATGCTATTTCCTCGAATGACAACGACAACGTCCTTTACATTCTGAAAAATACATGGCGCTTTATGTATTTCTTCTTCGTGATTTTGAATGGATCTTTACAGGTGCCGGCTTTCTTTGACTGTTTAGTAAGAGCGACTATAAAATTAATTCCTTTTACAGGGATAAGTAAAATGAGTAAAAATTCGATTCAAGGCGAATTTAATTTTATTATTAAATGCTTCACTACTTTTTGCCGCTTGAACGCATTTCAGATTGCTCAAATTAAAAACGGCGTTTTTTCCATTGAATTCAGAAAGTTCAATTCTTGTTGCACACGCAATTTCAAAGGCTAGATGTTTATTTTTTTATGCGTGACGGTCGCACCACACAATGTGTTCATATTTCTAAAATGTATACTCATAAAAATGAGTATACATTTTATATTTTTATCTTATTATATACGAGCAGTGAATAGATAAAAGCAGGATTTGCGGAGAGTCTTACTAAATTTTATAATGTTCCAGGTAAAATATGCGCCCAAAGTGACTGTGTCCATACTTTCCGGAACAGCGTCCAATGGACGTATTCCCGAAGGCGCCGAAGTGCATTTAGGGTGTAAAGCAGACGCGAATCCACCCGAAGTTACTTACAAATGGTACGTCAACGATCAGCTTCAGATTGGTGACTTTACGACGGAGCTAGTATTGCATAATGCCACTCGGTCACATCACGACGCCATTGTCAAGTGCGAGGTACACAATGCCGTCGGAAAAAGTGAAGAAAGTGAAACGTTGGATATTAGCTGTAAGTTATGCAGTATTGATTATTCGTTTCTGGTACAACTTTTTTTTGTTATGATTATAGATGGCCCACAGTTCAGAACGAAGCCACGCTCACTACAAGCTGATCCTGGTAGCAGTGTGACATTAACCTGTGACGTAGACGGCAATCCATTTCCTGATATTTCCTGGTATCACGAGGATAGCACACGTGTTATCAGCTCTAACACAAACTTGACTTTGCGAGTAGATACCACCAGCGCAGGACGGTACTACTGCAAAGCACACGTGCCTGGTTTTCAAGACATTCACGCTGAAGCCGCCATCTATTTGAAAGGTATGTTGTCTCTTGCTCATTGAAGCGTCCATGCACGTCCTACTTAATTGTAATTGCTTTGTAGGACCTCCGTCCATTGTCAGTCACCGGACGCAGTTTGGCATCGAGGGTGATAATGTAAGGGTCGAATGCACCGCGTTTTCCATACCGGCGCCCCAACACGTCGTGTGGACGTTTAACGGACGTGAAGTTGATCTCGACGATCAGGACTACTCTATACTGGAGGACTTCCTCCCCGACGGCATCAAATCAACTTTAATTATAAGGGAATCGCAAGGCAAACACTTTGGCATGTACAACTGCAGCGTGTCGAATCCGTACGGTGCGGATGTTGTAGAAATTAATCTCATGCCACAAAGTAAGTTTAATTAACAATACTTGACATTAAACGTTGCTGCTTGCTGCAGTGACATTATCTGTTTATAATTAATTCAACATTGGCTGATGCTACTGCGAACGAATAATATTTAATAATTTCATGCTAAATATACTACTAACAATAATAATAATAATGCTAATTTTTAAATGCTAAAGCAACCGAAATTGTTATTCGTTCGAATGTTCATGGATATTAATTTACAAAGAAGTGTTATTTGCAGAAAACATATCATCGACGTTCATTATATTCGGAGGAATTGGAGTCGCCATTTTTGTGCTGATTGTGGTCATTACTATCTATTTGTGCCAATGTCAAAAAAATAAGAAGACACCTCCAGAAGGTAAGTGTCATAAATTCCAATTGGTGACTTTATTACTAATACCATTATATAGGTGGCGATACCAACGTAATTGAAAAACAATGCAAGGAATCTGACCGAAGTTCAAATATCTCCGACTTAAAACTGGACTTGAGAACGGGGTCGTCCAATAGCAATATGCATTGTGAGATGGATTACATACCAGGCGCCGAATCTGAAACCGGTAGTGAATCAGTAATCACTCGCATTGGTGTGCCACTCGCAGGCCCAGTCAATGTTCCAGGCCAGGAAATTTATCGTTATTCCGCAGACTATACGGAGCCCACATTCCCCCCGAAGGTACTTTTGCCATCCAACATTAGGAAATGTGCGCACGAATTAATGTAGTATTTTTCACAGGATGGCCAAAATAACAACGGGTATGTCCCGTATGTTGACTATTCTCGGGACTATAATCCGCCACTGATGCAACCACCGATCACTTCTTCATTGGATCAGAGTCTTCAATCGACGCGACTACAGTTGAACTCGTTACAGAACCATCAAATTCCAGTGTCGGGCACGAGCCTTCCAATGAGCGATCTCACCGACCTGCACATTGTCACCTCGCAGAGCTTGAGCCTCGGCAACGGGTCTATTCCCGGCATCGGTCACATAGACCCACGCTTCAGTGCCACTTATGGAAATCCTTACCTGCGCAATCCAAGCATAGGACTGCCGACGCCGAACACCGCCAATCCGGCTGCGACGCCCGCACCTCCGCCATATTCCAGAGACAGTTCGCGGAACTTAATAAACTCAAGTGGTATGGTGACTGCTAGTGCAAACGTAGTGAACACCGTCCTCGCGAATGGCGCAAACGGTACGCTGCCACAAGTAACGAGACTACCGAATTCGCCCACAAGCCAATACATTGTACCCAACACCAACGTTAACTCGTTGAAACGGGGCACGATGGCCACGCATGTATAATATTTGTAGTTTACTCGTAAGTAGACTTGTTTCCCCTTCCCATATTCATCCTAATGGACTTACTTAAGTGAATTGAGAAATTATGAAGAAATTTATAAAGAAGACTGAGATTTCATTATTTTTACATACGTTTCTAGTTTTCTACTTAAATTATAAAAATGACCCCCCCTGTTAGCAACAACTGCATCGCATTTTAACATGGCGCAGGATTTGTTATGAGACGTACGGTCACGTGTAATTCAGTCATATCTAGAAAATACATATAAAGCATTAATTGAATTGTTGAAAAGACATAATATAAGAAACTACTGGGTCGGAGATTAATATAACTATATTTAAAATTTAATGATACGTACATATAAAAACTCGTGCATATTTATGGTCCCATATCGTTTTTCTATTCAAGATTTTTCACGGCTTACGTAGTATTCTCCAGCTGTACATATCGAGACAACAATATAATGTATTTATTGAATTTAAGAACAAGCAAAAAACGAACTATCAGTGATTATTGTACATCGACATCAATTTTAAAATGTCAATTTGTTATATGAAAATGAAAATATGTTTTCAAAATAACGTGAAACGAAAACTGAGAATACACTTCATATAATTATATGAACGATCATAATATATAAGTTTGTTTTCAATATTCTTATGGTTTATTGAGAATGTATAAAATTGTAAAATTTGTTAACGAGCTTCCAAATGATCTGATACATACATAATTAGTGGAATTCCTAAATTATTTTATTTTCTTTTGTGGCGATTGTTACGTACTATACCAAAGATTTACGATGTTGAAATTAACTTTTGTTTTACCAAATTTTCTAACGTACTTATTATTTTATTAAACAACTCAATTAATTCCTATCATCTACATAATTGAAGACAATATGGTAATCTGTGCGCTAAACTGCAATTATTCGGCGCATGCCTGTGAGCAATGTAAATATTTGAAAGGTCAATCAATTTTAATGTTGTATGTGTTTAATTAATGCATTGAGTCTGTATTGCGTAAACTCCGAGACGTTCTGAGATTTGTACAATTGCTAATTGAATCATATCATCTTTCAATATCTTTTTACTATGTGTACATTGTTGTAAATTATTATTTATAGTTTGTATTATACACTCCAATATGTATTAAAAATTTGTAAATAATTGAACCGTTCCTTTTGGGAAACGCATTTGCCGTCACGACTTGAGAGTCTGTCATCAAAAACTAACAAGAACACATCAAATACCTAATGATTATCATCATATGCTCTTATATCGTATAGTCCCGTATTTTTTATACATACGTATTTTGTTATGAATAATATTTAGTCAATTATACGATTAATTCCATTAAACATACGAAACGTGAAGCAAAAATGAATTGCGGTGATTTATGTAAATTAGAATATTACTTAGTAATTTAGCTCAAGATGTAAATAATAATACATACTGATTTTGAGGACGAAAAGATTCTTACAGTTTTCTATGCTATTAGAAAATACTGTTATATTATTGTGTAATACATTTTTCTTGAAAATAGCAATATAGTATTTGAATTTGTTTCGCGTTTTCCTATAATTACCAAATTTTTATTACATTTTCTATTCCCCAAATGCGGAAGCTAAAAAATCCAGACAAATCCAGTGAAATGAAAAGTAAAAATACAAAATAGAATACGAGAATTAATGCAAAAATGTTGACCAAACAGTTACATGAATTTTAAGAGCATATAAGTTATGTCGCATTATATTTAGAAGACTCTTTGCAGTGTGCAACCTCTCATTAATTTCAATCATCTAAATTCAGGGACTCCGACTTGTATAATTCAGAGATGGCACTAGCGTGAACTAAAAATCATAAAATAGAATTGCATTGTTTATTTCAATATTTATCGGCAGACGTGGGCATTCGGCAAGAGAATTGTGTTTGTTTTGAACACAATTTACTTTCTTATCGCTTCCGCCGCGTAGAATGCAACGCATGAGATTCCCGAGGGTCATCGTTGCAACATATTCTAGTTTAGTTTAGATCGGGGTATTGTAATTCGCGCACAAGGTCGCGAGCCATCGACGCGCCGGTTTTGCGCATCTCTTGCTTTCTTATCGTAAACTGTCACGTCGTTGCTTGCTCGGCTACGACATGCGCTATCGATGATTTGCAACCAGTTTCGTGTCGGTCGCTAGGTAGTTCAGACGTGGTTTGACCAACTCGTATTGTTTGTTCGGTGTTCTGCTTTCTAAATTCACATTATATTCGATCATCAATCCACTATTTAATTGTAACTACTATAGTAGTGTTATTTACTATTTCCGCGTTTAATGTACATTATTGTACAAAATTGGTAGATATTTGATCGCGTTTCGTGTTCATACTTATGCAAGTGACGAGGTTCGGTGTCGGTCGCTAAATGAATTGGATATTGGATGGCTCCTATGTAGATTTATTGATCATTGTCTCTGTGTAAGTAACTTTTAATTCAACAACACATGTTATATCTTATCTTATCTTATCTTATATCTTATGAAATATTTCAACTTCTTTTCTTTTAATTACAGCACTTGCTGTGCTGTGGTGACTGATGCGCATAACAATTCGTAAGTTTATAATTCAATCATATTTCTCCTTCTAATTTACGCGACAAACATTTATTGCTTCATTACGTACAGTGACCGCGAAAGTTATTCGAAATATCGAATATTTCAATACTTGCGGTGGTAAACGATTCATATTTCGCGAATCCTTCGTTATATTTTTTCAGCATATGAGCATACTCGTAATGCGAGTTGTAGAACATGTGGTCTTTCTGTTTCAGTACTTTCTGTGATTACCCGAAACACTAGTAAGTTTGTAAACATTTTCACAATATAATTATATTTTTATCTTAAATTACTTGTATCGAGAGTACTGTAATAACTCAAAATTGATTCGTGCTGTCGGGTGCGTCAGACTCGCTGCAGATTGTAGGGTATTCCATGTCGATCGTCGCTTTAAGAGGGTATTCTACTCTAGAGGCATGAATTTCATGTGATTTTTGAAAGGCCGTAAAAAAAATCAATTAATATTTTTACTATCCATTTTTTTAACACTTATTTATTAATGTTTTGAGAATACAAAAAAAAAATAAAAACTGAAAAAAGTTCAAAATTTTAAATTCCAGCAGGTGATGAAGTGGGAGGTCCCAAAAAATTGGCAGGTGACCGTACCCATGATTTTAGCCCTCCAAGTGATCTGAATTAATCTAGAATAATTAATTATTAATCTAGAATAATGTCGCAATCATATGAACTACGGCCAAGTGAAAAAAAAGTTTTTCACAAAATGGCGACTGTGATTTTTTCACCCTTATTTTTTGATATTCAAAATTGCACTAATTTGTTGTTTCCAAGTGTTTTTCTTCTTGAATTAGTTGTTTTCTTTTGTAGTTGTTTTCTAATGTAGTAATTTCCTGATTATAACACACTGTTTATAATTTTCGTTGATCTTTCAACCCGAATTGAAATAATTTGTTTTATTTTTCTATTTACTTTGGTTGGGTATCTGCCCTATCTTTCTTCCAGCCCTCTAACCATTCCGTGAGTGGCCTAAAATGCCTTTAAAAATTAGTTGCTTTCAAAAAAATAAAACATGCTGTGGAAAACACCCTGTATCTCATGAACTTTCTTGAAGTTTCTTTTCATCATATTAGAGTTCGAGAGATTATCTACACGATACAACCCCCTTTCAATTCTGTAACCCTTCTGGAAGTGCCCTAAATGCCCTTGAAAAATAGCTGTTTTTGTGCCATAAATTTCTGATGCTTTCTTTTTTAAACATAGCATTTCCTTTTTGCAACACCCTGTATATTTATTTTCCTTGGTCCAAACAAAAAATTGACTAAATTTCTTGTTTTTATTGTATTTAATTTTCCGTTTGTTACACCCTGTATATTAATTTTCGTTGATTTTTAATTCAAATTGTGCATGCAGTTTACATTATTTTATTTAATTTAGTTATAAAGAAATGTGAAAACAGATTGTGACTTGTATTATTTGTGTGCACCCCTTCTACCATTTCAAGTACAGGCACTAAAATATTTCTGTTTTGCGGTGGCTCTAATGGAGTCGACACTTAGAAAAATAGAAACGGTACTACGTATTATCCGGCTATATATTCACCCCCTTCACCATACTGGCCGTGGAGAGCGGGAAAGAGGATAGTTTAGCGGACTGCAGCATTTTTTTTTATTTCAATAGTTGCATAGGTATATCATTATTTTTAATATCTGTATCTCGTAAATTGTTTCACTTTTTACCGTTTTTTTTACCGTCATGTTAGAGCGGACGAATTCCTCTACAAGATTCATATACCCCTCCTACCTACCAGCCTTATAGAAAGTGCCCCATAATGCTCTTCAAAAATGAACAATTTTAGGAAAATTTAAAAACATGGTGTGGATAACACTCTGTATCTAGTGAACTAATTGACTTGCTTAAAGTTTCTCCACGCTAGAATGGAATTAGAAAGTTCCTCTACAAGATGCATACCCTACAACCTCTCAACTCTTCCGGAAGTGCCTTAAAATGCCCTTGAAAAATGAGCAATTTTTCGAAAATTTTGAAAACATAGAGTGGAAATCACCCTGTATCTAGTGAACTAATAGGCTTCCTTAGAGTTTCACCACGCCAAAATAGAGTTAGAGAGTTCCTCTACACGATAAATACCCTTTCAACCTTCCAGCCCTTCCAGAAGTGCCTTAAAATGCCCTTCAAAAATCAGAATTTTTAGGAACATTTGCTAAGCTGGGGTGGAAATCACCCTGTACCTCCGAAACTAATTGACGCTCTTGGAGTTTCTCCACGCCAGAATAGAGTCAGGGAGTTTGCCTACACGATGCATACCTTTTTAACCTTCCAGCTCTTTCAGAAGTGCCCTAAAACGTCTTTCAAAAATGAACAATTTAAAAAAAAATTGAAAACAGGGTGGAAAGCACCCTGTATCTCGTAAACAAATTGACTATCTTCTAGTTTTTCCACGCCAGAAGAGAATCAGGGAGTTTGTCTACACGATACATACTCTTTATACCTTCCAGCCCTTTCGGAAGTGCCCTAAAATGCTCTTCCAAAATGAGCAATTTTTGGAAAATTTGAATTGATTTTCTTGAAGTTTCTCAACGTCATGTTAACGTTCGTAACGACGTAATGACGTAAAGGGTATTTTTTACACTATGTATACCTTAACTCTATAAACCCTTTGGAAGTATCTTAAATTCCCATGAAATTTCAGTTTTTGGTCGAATAACAGGGTCGAACTTTATTAATAAATATTTTTCGATCGAAGAACAGGATCGATCTTTTATTCATAAAATTTTTTCGGTTGAATTTTTTTATTAAAATTTTTTCGGTCGGATTTTTTTGTTAAAATTTTTTTGGTCGAAAAACAGGATCGAACTTTTTTACTTCAAATTTTTGGGTCAAAAACAGGATCGAAATTTTTTATTTTTATGTATTTGTTGAAATAAAATATTTCGTCATAAAAAGGCAAAAGATTTCTCCTTTTTATGTCGAAGGCAGTTTTCACTAAAATTTGCAAATAGGGCCTAAACGGTTAATCTTAGGAAAAAAAGTTACTAAAACAATCGATGTAGAATTAAAAGAACAGTTTAAGTATTTATTATTCTAACATTTCATATATTATATAACATAACATATAACATATTCTAACTGCCTTTTAAATTAAACAAGAATTAATCTATAATTTTGATACCGGCGTCCGATTCATAATTTAATCGAAATTAGAAGTTCCATGCATTGTACGAGTACAATTCTTTTCATGTTCTGCATTACCACACTGAATGTATCAGTGTTTACAAACAAACAAGTTTTCTTATCTCGTGCAATTTTTGCACAGTTCGCGACGCGGTTGGCTTGCCTACCACGTCAGTCCCATATTTGTCGTCGCGTAGTCTGCACGCACATTTTCTTCACAATAATTTGAGTTCCTTAATTTCTTCGCGTCATTACGTATTATTTCTAAATGCTCCTTCCATTGTGCGCGAGTGATGTGCGGTGTTCGTTAAATGCGAATTGTTTATACTCAGAGGTAGAACGTGAGTGGGGTTCCGTCGGCCGTTGGATACTCTTTTTGTATGACACGCGTATTTAATCATTTCTACAATGTGCATAATTAAGGTCCTTACAATTTATTGGAATGGCCAAAAGCGCAAAAATTAATTTTGCATCAAGGTATGTTCTCCCATTTCTTAAGCCATTTGAAAATCAAATCCATTATTGCCTTTACTTGTTTTTACTTCAACTGCGTGGTCTTTAAGCCTACAAATAATTTTTGGTCCCTGTTTCAATACCTTTGATTTGCATTACGTATTTGATACCTTGTTTTTTTTTGTTTGATGTACAAATTAAAAAGATTAAGATAGTCGCGTGCCGTCGGCTGCGTTCTTGATCCTCTGGCGGCTTTCTGGGCTGGTCGCTGGTTGTTTTACATAATTTAAAATAAAATTCTGCTTTGTGCTTTATTCTTGTAATATCCAACCCATCACTTTTCCTTCATATCCAGAGAAAATACAATTATTGAAATGTTCTATTTTTATGTTTTCTTACTTTTCACTTTTCTTTGATTTTTGGTGTAAACATTTTGATTTTTTTTAAATTCCTGATGGTTTTCTTCTTATATTATTTTGTTATTGTCGTTTTGTTAATTGTGTCCATCCGTTTTCCGAATTAAATCTTAATTTTTCTTTAGGTATCACCCAGTAGATATATTTTCCTTATAATTTAATAGGCTATATTTATTAGTGTTTGGGCGTTTTACTTTTAAAATTTTGAGTTTTCTTTTTATAACACCCTGTATATTAATTTCCCGTAGTATCAAAAGAGGATAAATATATGTTATCTCATTTAAAATTAAGATTTTCCTTTAAAATATTGTAGTTTTCTTTTTGTATCACCCTGTATTATAATTTTCCGTAATTGGTTTTTGTAACATCCTGTATACTAATTTCCCGTGGTGAATTTGTCAAAAGGGGAAAGATATATGTCATCCTACTTAAACTTAGTAGTTTTATGGTGCTATTCTGAGCAGCACCCGAAGTGCCATCGAACGAACGCAAATTGCGATTCTGAGTGGCCAACGGAGGTCTTTTGGAGGGTTCGGGTCGCCTCAATTTTTCGAGCAGCTTGAGGGTGCCGATAGCCTTCGTAACATATTATACGCATGCGCTGCTCTCTTGGCGTGGGTGAAACTGCCTTACCGCAGCTCTTCGTTCTCACTCGCAACCGCACTCGGTCGTCTGCTGTCTCAGTCTGCCTATTCATCGAAATTGGTAAAGTGGAATATTTTGACGAGCCGTGCGCTCAGCAGATGTGAAAAAAGATGAAGATGACAAGGAATTGTACGCATCGAGTGTATCTGTATTTTTCAAATGCAAAATTCCACGTTTTCAAGCAAAAATTTCAAATAAAAAAAAAACTCGTAAAATCAATAAATTTGAGATGAATATTGTGTCAATTTTTCACAAGTATTTGCTGATAATGAGCCAAATACGTAGCATATAAAAGATTATTTATATTTTTTGATTGTGTTTCTTCAAAGGTAATTTAAAAATCAAAACAATGAACAATAACAACTTTTGATTGCGACTTTTCAAACGTCAGTATAGAACCGAAATAGAAATAATAAGTATTAACTCGCGCGCTTTCTGTCAAATTTTAGGGTGCAGCGAGATTGACTTTAGGTAAAGATTAGATGCGCGCTCAGAATACCACTTAAGGCCGAACCAAAACTTCGCCGTACGAAGCGTCTTGGAGCTTTCGTACGTTTGTTCGTTACGTGGTGAACACAGAATCGCACCATTAGTAGTTTAGTTTTAGATAAATATTTCCCTACTTGAATTTTGCATTTTTTAAAATGTTATTATATTGTTGTTGGAACACCCTGTATAATAGTTTTCCGTAATTGCCGCGAAAATTATGTTAGTATTATAGGTGCTTCTTTGTTATTTTTACCCTTGGTACTTGTCGGCATGTATGGGGTTATACTGCTCTTATAACTAGATTCCAAATGGTGGCGCATATATTGTTTAGTATTATATTTTACAAGTTTTCATTGTATACATGTTTCAATAAAGAAATGTTAAAATTGACTGTACCTCCTATGATTTGTGTCTACCCCTTCTATCATTTGAGATACAGGTCTCTAAGAGAGTTCCCTCTCTCAGGGATGATCCCCACTATAAAAATTGTTAAGGTATCCTGTACGATTTGTGTACTCCATCTTTCATTTCAGATACAGGTCAGAACTTGTAAGAATATTTTTAAGTGTTGCCTGTCTTGAGACGACTTAAAACTTAAAAATATTTTTACAAGTCCTCATAAGGAATGTCCTTAAATGGGGTTCTCCCACTCGGGGGATGATCCCCCACCATAAAAATTGTTGATATGCCTAAGAATCCTGGGGATGAAGCGTAGAGACATCGTAGCTGTAGGATGGGCCGGGAGCAATGGACACATCGACCTGTGGGCTGTCTTATAACGACACGCCGCCAAAAAATTCAAAAATCTGATCCACTCCTGTTCTTTTTCTCCTATCTTCTCCTCTTCTTCTCTGCTCTCTTTCTTCTGCTTCTCTATTCTTCACTGCTATTCCTTCTTCTACTTCTCCTATTTTTCTGTTCTCTGTTTCTCAACTTACTTTCTTACTTCTCTTATTCTTCACTTGTATTGCAATTTCTATTCAATTTCATTTGAGTTTACATATGCAACCCAAATTACACCTCTTATTTTTATATTTGAGAAAAATGCCTTTTATAACTGGGGATCGAACCATCGATCTACGATATAGCAACATGTGCTGCACACCTGAGAGCCACGCGGCTTTCTTATCAAATCTTATTGGTTTCTTCTATTTATGTTTTCATATCTTACAGTAAAATAAAACAACAGCACACATATACTACACTGTACTATACTATGCTATACAATGGTGTAGGCTTAGAGTGCAACACGACTTAATACTAATCCTGAAAACGACTAAGTGAACACTAGGGACACATTGTTTACAAGAATGTAAAATTTCCTTAAAAATATTCTTTATTGACTGAACATTTACAATTATTATAAAGCAATTACATGGTAACTGTAGGATTTTAAAAGTTAAGGTTAAGTTAAGTTTTATTTGATGCTACTTACTCCTTTGTTCATGTATTAAGAAAGAAGTAAAGCGCACAAACACATTTCCGCAAATAGTATGTAGAATTGAAGATACGCACTTCTTTACTATTCCACACGGAGATTCCAAATGTACTCACTTGTACTCACATCAAACACATAAATTTAACTTAAACTCCAGAAAGTATCCATAGTTAACGGAACATACAACGGACGCCACGCGCGCACCGCTAAGAATCACTCAAATCATTCGTTGTGCGCTACACTGGGCTGTTACTACTCAATGCCTCTCATTGTCAATCGAATCTAGAAATGCTATAAAATATCAAGAAACGCAAGAAATCGTCACCATGTTTGATTAATGAAGAAAACATGTGCCCACCACGCACCAGCGCTCAACCGACTAAGCCGAACTATGCAAGCCAGATATGTAATTGGTAACAGACCCGCAGTTGGAGGGGTATTCTTCTATTTGTATACAACAGAAATGTGACTACAAATATATTGCATGTTATCAAGTTATGAGGTGAAGTTTACAAAAAAATATATTTGGCAAAAAGGTTTTTAATTATCAAATAGCAGTTTCTAGGCTTTCCCTAGTATTAAACACAAGTGTTGAATTTTGACAATGGTAAACAACTAGAACACTTAGAATCACATGAACTAATGCTTGTCCTACGACATCGGCTTTGCCCGCTAGACACATAAACAACCGAAAATTAGAGTCAACTGCCTAATTATGCAAATTTTATTATTTCATGTTTTGTTAAACCTAAAAGTTGTGCATAAAACAACAACAAAAATTAAGAATAAATTTAACCCAAATCGATGAAAGCGCCATCTGACCGCGGCGAAACAAAATAAAGTTAAACATCGCCTACTAGAGCCATCTAGTTTTGGGACTTTGAAATAAATCACTCAGAAATCTGTAAAGCATCTACTTATATTAAAAAAACTAATTTAAATCACTTTACACGGTATGAAGAATGAAAATTTACGAAAATGATAAACAAATTTAATACTTACAACTTGATGAAAAAATCGGTGTCCAAGGACATTTTGTCCGCCCGTTAGACACCTAAAACAACAAAAAATTAGCCCATCGAAGCACAAAAATGACATTTTTGCAGGTTTTCCGTGTGATAATCACACAAATTACGTATCAAAATTATGAACAAATTCAATACTTACAATCTGATAAAACAATCGTTGTCGTACGACATTCTGTTCGCCTGCTAGACACCTAAAACAAAAAAATAGCACATCGAAGCACAAAAATGACATTTTTGCAGGTTTCCCGTGTGCTAATCACACAAATTACTTATGAAAATGATAAAAAATTCAATACTTATAATCTGATAAAACAATCGTTGTCGTACGTCATTCTGTTCGCCTGCTAGACACCTAAAACAACAAAAAAATAGCACATCAAAGCACAAAAATGACATTTTTGCAGGTTTCCCGTGTGCTAATCACACAAATTACTTATAAAAATGATAAACAATTTCAATACTTACAATCTGTTGAAAGAATCGTTGTCCAAGGACATTCTGATCGCCTGCTAGACATCAAAACAACAAAAAATTAGCACATCGTTACACAAAAATGACCTTTTTGCAGGTTTTCCGTGTGCTAATCATACAAATTATATATGGTAATGATTAACAAATTTAATACTTATAATCTGATGAAAGAATCGCTGTCCTAGGATATTTCGTTTGCCGGTGAGACACCGAAAACAACCAAAAATTAGCACATCAAAACACAAAAATGACATTTATGCGGGTTTCCCTTGTGATAATAAAACAAATTATTTATGAAAATTATAAATAAATTTAATACTTACAATCTGATGAAAGAATCGCTGACCTAGGATATCTCGTTTGCCCGCGAGACACCTAAAACCACCAAAAATTAGCACATCAAAACACAAAAACTGTTTTTTTGCAGTAATTTGGTGCTCAAAAATGTGGTTGCCTGGAAAGTTGCGAATTTCAATTTTGCCACCTCGTATCTTTGCCGCTTGCGCCGCCATATTAGAAAAATGGCGTCTAAGAACAGTTTTTTGATAATATCTCCTTTCCGACTCATTTTACGATCAAAATCTACTATATAAAAAATTAAACTAGAGAAAATTTCCTATAATTTATGTAACCTTTTTGTTGTAAAATTAACAGTTTTAGCGTACGGGCGCCGCAAAGTCTACTTCAACATTCGTTTTTGAGAAAAACTCATTACACAAGATACGAGGTGGCAAAGTTGTAATTCGTAAAGAGCACATCGAAATCTATAAGATCACCAATTTTCAAAACTCCCGGAAAACTTGCCATGCAAAACTACCACATGAATGGGCTACATGTTAATCATACAAATTATATATGAAAATGATAAACAAATTCAATACTTACTATCTGATAAAAGAATCGTTGCCCTAGGACATTTCGTTCGCCCGCTAGGCACCTAAAACAACCAAAAATTAGCACTTTCTTTGCTTCCACGCAGAACGTTGTCCATGTTCCAATCCACTGTCCAAGTAATATCACAACAAACGTTGAAAGACGTTGCATGCTACCTGTATCTTGCGAACGTGCAGTGTAAACAAGTTGATAGCACGCGGCCATCTTGCAAGGAATGCAAAGAAAATTGCCGATTTTGTAATAAAACACTAAACACGTCAGTAATGGCTAAATGCAGTCGATGAACAATTGAAAAAGAAACGCGATTTACTCAATTACAAACTCAAAATAAAATGATAACAGCCGCGAGAAACACGCCCGACTCAACCAACGACCGACACAAAACTGCGCTGAAAACACCTAACAGCCCAATCTGCAACGGCGCCCAATACACGCGATCACCAAGTATAGATACTATACCCGTATGTTGAATGTGCAATGAATATGACAGTGTACCACGCATAACCTACAAGTTGCCCGTTTCTTCTGCCCGATGTATCGTGTTATTTTTGATTAGAATTTTTATCCTATTCTTTATCTTTAAAAAATGGACGATCCTGATTTAGAAGCTATTAGGAAGCAAAGGTTGGCTCAATTGCAAGCGGGTTACCAGGTAATGGCATTTTATAGATATGTATTCAAGTTTCTTCAGTCTGAACATTAGTTGATGATTAACCACATGTGTTCTCTTTTTGCTCAGGGAGGCGATGCCCAATCGGCAGAATCGAAGGAAAAGCAGGCACAAGCACAACAAGATGCTAAAAATTCAATATTATCACAGATTCTAGACCAATCAGCTAGAGCAAGATGTATGTATGCATTTATATTACAGTAGCTATATTAAAAAGGTTTTTGTAGTAAACACACTATCCCTTGGCAAGCCAGAAAAAGGCAGGATGGTGGAAGATATGCTTGTTCGCATGGCACAATCTGGTCAAATTCGCAATAAAATAAGCGAGTCTGACTTTATTGGAATACTTGAATCCGTGAATGCCCAGTTGCCTCAGCATAACACTTCTGTGAAGTTTGATCGACGTAGAGCCGCGTTGGACTCAGATGATGATGACTTTTGAATTGATACTATCTCAACTATGGAAAACTCACACCATTTTATTGATTGTATTCTATCCACCTAAATTAAATTTACTCCTTTATTAACTTTAGTTCTTAGTAAACACTTCAAATCACATCTAAACATTAATAATTACTCATCAACACAAAGAAATGATTATATGACTAGATTTGTATGGGAGTATTGATTTATTCATGTTTTTCATGTTGTAATTCTGCAACAAATAAACATTAATTAATTGGTTTTCGTGTTATATTTCGTATAATATGCAAGACATTACCTTCTTCTTCTTCATCAGCATCTAAAATGTCTGCACAGCAAATTGAATATAAAATCAAAGACAAGAATCCAAGCGGCAGCCCGAACAGGACTGTGGTGAGGACTGGATTTCCTTGCCACATTGAAGCCAAACCAGTTCTTGTTTCAAAATATGTTCGATATAACGAAACAGTGTAACCGTTGCCACCATACACCTAGGAAATTTAATTAAAATGCTTAAGCTTCGATGTAATATCGGGTGAAATATAAGCTTATTCTAATGTGCGTGATATTATAATTTCAATTACTTATTAAGTTTTGATCCAGTTACTTACAGGCACGCTTTGGTTTTGTACACCTTCAAGGAACACATCTAAAATTTCAGCAGTCAATTGCATCGGCTCATCGTCTAGCATATGATGATGATTTGTCGTCGAATTTAACACAATTAAATTCGGCAAAGGTAAAGTACTCATTGCAATACTATTAGCAAGGTCTGGATTGCCAACCCATCCGAACTGGAAATTCTTATGGTATTTATCTCGCTTTTTCCGTATAACAGATTCGACCATATCTTTAAATTCGATCATTTCTTGTGGCAATTCTTGGAGTTTGTTCTCTTCTAACACAGCCAATACAAGATATTTTTTTGTTTGCATCAACTCATGAATATTTCCCCTTGTGACTTTTGGAAATGTTTCAAACCTTTCCTCATTAATCCAGTTGTATAAGGTAGCATTCAAATGTTCTGCCTCTGATATGGAGTAGCCAGAATCAACAGAGTAAAAATAATGCAGGCTTTCCTTGTAGACAAAAACAGCTGGAAGTTCATCTATATCAACATGTTGTTTTGCTATTTCAGTGCTAGCAGAAAAAAAGAAGCCATGAGCTTGCATTTTAACAGCAGTGGCATAGTAGACATCCCATAGGGGCCCAACATGAGGGCCCACATACATGAAAAATAAACTGTGAAGTGCCTTGATATTGTTCATGCTGTCAGTTCTTGTGAGTTCTTGGACTGGTGGACCTGATAAACGAATGCCAAAATTAACAATATCTTCCTTTGTCCTGTCACCATCAAATGTGAAATCCTCATTTCCCTTGATGCTAGAATAAATACATGTTATATCTAATACTCATAAAATAATGCAAGTAATTCTTACAATTTGATTGTAGGAAAGCCTTGAATTTTAAACTCATGTGCCATTGACGTAAATCTGGTGCAATCAACTTTTCCAACTCTAATATTAGTTTTTGTTAGAGCCTGAGCTACATGTGACCACACAGGTTCTAATCTTTTGCAATGTCCACACCAAGGAGCATAAAACATTACTAACCAATGACCACCATCTTTTCGAACCTCCAAAAATTTATCACTTAATTCCAAAACCTTGGATGCCTGTCCATAGCAGAACACTGCAAAAACATTTAATATATAATGCATGTAGAAAAATGGCACTATTTATTACCTGTGAATATAAAAAATGTAAGGCGCATTTTTTGGTTTAATAGCAACTTTCAAAACGATTTGCACTACTAAATAAGAAAACTGCCACACTTATGCTGTGTGGGCTTAATTAAAGAACATGTTTTTAATTCGATTAAGCACTTTTACTTTTGCTGCTTTTGTTAACGTATTAAAAACATTACCACCGCTTAATTTAATATTATTTGCATTAACTTGTAGTATGCTATGGTATTGATTTGTTGCACTTATATTCGTTTTACTAGCTTTGGAACTTGCAGTAGCTTCAGCAGTTGACAGATCATATATACACTAAGGACTGGAATATATAACATAAGTGGAAAATAAAGTCATTATTATCTTAATTATCATGACATCGTATGTTTTTGCATTACAAAATTGAGATAATAACTACATTCCTACAACAAACAAGGCTTCAGTAACAATATAATAGAGCCCTTTATGTACGTATTTTGTATGTTACGTTTTGTATAATGTTGATCGTACTCCATAGAGGACGCAACCATATCTGTTAATGTTTACCGAATGTTTGAAATTTATAAACTAAATCTCAACAGTAATATTATACCATAGAGATGATCCAAGGTCCAAGGTCCTTAGTTATGCTCTATGTAAAATTAAAACTTTTAATTTATGCCATGAAAATCTTAGTAAGCAAATTTTATTATAAAAAAAGGCAAAACTTTTCATCTTTTCTTTATCACGATTAATTTAAATTTGTAAAGTCTGATTTCAGATTCTGATAACATATTAAAATTTAATTCAAATATTAGATTTATTGATCATTTTAATCATTTTAAACTTATTATTATATTAATAAAACGGTACATCCGCATTTATTTTATGCGTATATTTTTAATAATAATAATAATTACTCACTCGAGAGATAATTTAATACCTTTCGGTTGATGTTAGAACTTCATAGGTAGGAAAGAGTTTTAGAGAGTTTTCTCAAACACAATGCCACTTACTCTAATCAAAATCGTAATTTGACTTTCAAAATTAATTTTTTTACAGATATCAATATCATTACATCACTGGTTTCAAAATGATAAAAATTAAATACCAAGATAATATTTCAAATTTTATAATTTATTCTTATTTACCATACAGACATAAAATAATATTGTGCATAATCGCTTATCGTTATTACTTGAAACGACATAATAAATTATTGTGAATCATCTATAAGACAATAGTATGTATGTATAATGCAGGTATAAAAAAGGAATTACATTTTTAAGAAAACAAGGAGCAAAATATAGACTTGGCGGAGATACCCGCTCCATCTTGCGGGCACAACACCGCTTACACATTACAATATTTGTATGTATACGGATTGATCCGCATGTTTCATCTAAACTGTTAAATTTAACTGTAGCACAACTGTAACTGTACCGATAAACATTATAATTATTGCGTACTGGCTAAAGAGGCTATTTTTATAATTAGTATGTATGCTATGTTATATTTTGCACTAACATCGATCTATATTTTTATGTTTATTTCATTTTACTTATTCATCATGCTTATCCATTGAATTAAATGGTTTAATTTTTGTTACGTTAAATAAAGCTTTGTCCTGAAGTTTTTGGAGTCCTCACAATAGTTTGTTTATAGCTAGTTTAATGTCCAAATTCTCTTCAGCAATTTTTATCATTAATAATTTTAAATTTTGTCTTCTAAAAAATCTAAAATGCCAATTTCACATCACTTTCGCGCAATTTGCTTGTTTCGATTTATGAGTTATCATCAATGTAATAATTTAAGTCATATATGCTTAGATCCCTTAATCGTATTTTTATAAATTGTAATTTTTGTACAGATATGAAACGAAACAAAAAACATGCCATTCAGGGTAATACCACACCGTAACACATCGAAATACATAATTTTGTCATGAGATTCGATTTTTCTCCGTTAATTTACAAATTTAGTAACTCGGTTGACTTATAAGTGGTCACATAGTTTTTTTTCTCATGTTTCATTTTTGGAAGGCACTTACTACTTGACTTTTGAACACATGAAAGCCTAGTCAAAAATTTTCAAACGCAACACATTACTACGCCGAAGTCTAAAATTTCTATAGAACACAAGAAGAGATGAAACTGGGCGTTTTAATTTTGCAGGAGCCAAACATTCAATTTTTCTTGTTAACGCGCTCGATCTATGTCGGAAAGCTCGAAAGCAAAACTTCAAAGGCCACTTTTTTGAAAATACAATTTTGTTTCACATTATCACGACGCCACAATATAATACAATTAAATAAAAGCCTGGTAGACCCTTAAATGGCAGGAAGGCATATAATTTTCTTCATCTCCCCCGCTTGTTTCGACCGTGTGTGTGTTTGTATGTTGCATCTCCTAAGTCTCCTTAATCGTATTTACTAAATTTACAAATTAATTTGTAATGTAAGATAATTAATAAATTTTGTACATTATTTCACATGCTACCTTCATTTGCTCTCTTTTTATCATCTAAACAAATCACAAAAATAATTTAATTCATCGCCTTGTCGCTCTTCGCCTTTCTTGTTCACGAATTTGAATTGCGGTATCTTCATATGTACTTCAAGACTAACATGAAGAAATGTATAGCTGTTCATTATACAGTATCTCGTTACTCAGAGTGCTACGTTTATGTAACTGTATAATTGTTTGTTATTAACAATGTTGTTCAAATGTTCTCACAGTCAGTTGCACTACACTTGTTCTCTTTAAAGTTTTTGTGGTTTTTCTTATCGTTTTACATACACAACACCTACAAGTAGTTTACTATTTGTTACTTGTCGCAACATTATAACATATATGATACATTTGGCATAGCGAAACTAATCTAACATAATAATAATAACTTAATAAAGTCGCAAATTCATTAAACGAATAGGAAAAATCTAAAGCAAACTTGCGCTTCGCTTGGTTATCGATAACGAATTTCCGCCGATTCTCACAAATTTCATTTATATATATTAAGTAATTTTGATTTACAATTAATCGTTTATATTATATGCTCAAAAGGTCAATTGAAATGTCAATACTGAACTGTTCATATCGACCAAACTCGAATATAACACCGAAGCTAATAAAGCGCTATTACAATACTTATGATACAATCGATTTTCTTTCTTAAGCTTCACTTCATATCGAATTAATTTAATTACAATATAATTAATTAGAAACTAAAATAAATATTATGTATACATCTGTTCAGAGACCAGTTGAAATACTGATTAAAAACTGACCTATTTTATTTGTATCCTGCGTTCTTGTTGTACGGTCCTTTCTCAATGATCCGTGTCTTATGCGTTCTCGATTCATTTCACTGAAGGAACAAACGCAGAGTTTTTATACCAATTAATTTATTGCACTAATAAAATGCAGCAATTTATATATTATTTGCATATCGTAATATTATGTTTAATAATAATATATTCTATCTATTTATAGTTTTCATTTGTAATAATCATCATCAATTCATCATCATCATCATCAATGTCGTTCATAATATTTTGTTTTTCAATAATATTTATATTTATACGATCGACACGCCATTACGCTCATTAATTTATGTACAATAATTCAATCGAGTAATGCAATTAATTAATTATAACAGTTGTTAGTATCTATTAAATGTATCTTTATGTTCATTTTCCATCATTTCTGCAACAGTTTTCCGCCAATTAGGCCTCTGCAATTTTCCATTATTCATTTTGTACGTGAGAATTTTATTTTGCACGTGTGATGAAAAATGACTTTGGTGTACTTTCGTATATCAATTTGTTCTCTATATCTCCGTGCAACGCAACAAAATAAAGCATTACTTGATTTGATTTGAAAAATCTACTAGTACGTTTAATAAATAGTTAAGTAAAATGAATCAATTTAGCCTTCAGAACAAGTGGCATCTGTACACTTTCTAAAAAAGCCAGAAAAGGATAATTTAACTAAACTATACACGATAAACAATTGCGTAAAAAATAAACTAAAAAGTAAGAATTTGTATGCTGTGTACAGGTGCTCGTCGCGCGAAGAAAGCTCACTTTAGAATATCGTCATTATTGCATTAATTTGTAATTTATAGCCAGCCATGTTAGTGAATGGTTGTGTCATCTGTTCGTTTTTGTTTTGTAGCGTATTTCGTCTTGTGCCCAATATTCGTCATCTCTAATTATTTACGTACAGTACACTAATAATCTAGAAGCATTCTCTGTACTCAAACCATCTACAGCGTAATACAAAAAGACGATCGTTCCATGATAGATAGTAATAAAAACGTTCAATTGTAATTTGTGTGAAATATGTTTTACTTCAGGATTGTCGTAGAGCGAATGGGGGAATGTTCCTCGTGTTAGGCGTACACGTCCCGATGTTTTAAATGTGATGTGATTCTCGATTCAATTCTCCTTCAATGCAGCATCAGAATTCTTGACGTTCAACGTTTATCTCGTAATAAAATAATTATTAAAATACAGCATTTTTGAAAATATCCACTCTAATTTTGAATTTAGAAAAATTGTATACATATACACAACAGTCTTCTTTTTATACATAGAACTGGCCGAAACTTTGGCTAGATAAATTTCTGTGTTTTTATAAAAGTGTCCAAAAACGTTTTTTCTTCGCACTATTTTCTAAAATTTCGAATACATTAACAAGTAAATTAAAATTAAATGAAGAAATATATTGTTAGACACCATAGAACTTTTAGCACTTCCTCTCGTCAGTGGTCCACCTTTCACCAACAACTGAGTAATGTCCATTAAATTTCGCATTTTTCCAAACCTCACTTTAATGTAATAATTTCGCAACCGTGTGGGTCATTTCGAGCGTTTGTTGTTGGCGAAACATGTGCACAGCTGAGTGGCACGCAAGGGTCGCATATTAATAATAATTTATCACATTACATTTTAAAACGGCTTGCATTCATTCGCCTCGACATTCTGTCATTGGTTCCATTTTAATGGAAGCCATAGCGTCTTTGGGGCGCGATGGTGTGTTTGCGTGAATCGGCTTCACTAGCTCATCGATGTCCTCTTGGAAGAGATTTTCAGGCCGCGGCGACGTAAAATTAGAGCGATTCGGCTTGTACGTCATGCCAGAGCCTATGCCGACTTCCATATTGTTCGGCATTCCAAGATTCAATGCGCCGTCCATGCTGCTGGAAACTGTGAGGCCAAGCGGAGATGCAATAGGACTTTCCAGGCCGGAGCCGGCGGGGCTGATTCGCAGGTCCTGAATGCTGCCGGCCGGCGAAGCCATTCGCATAGAAGTCATATGGCTCATCGATGTCATCTGGTTGATGCTCATCGGCGGGATGCCGTTACTGGGCAGTGACACAGAGCCACAGTGGCCGGCGAGAGCGAGCGAGTTCACGAGACTCGCGACAGGGTTAGTATCGTGCGCCGTGCTAGCGTGCTGTGCCGCCGCTACCATGCTGCACATTTGTTGTCGAAGACCATGGGCGACGGCGGCTACAGCTGCTGCTGCAGCTGCCCCTGGAGAAACATTCGGGTCTGATCCATTGCTGCAATTGTTACTGGGATAGTTCTGGACGCTACTGACTCCGTCCTATAAAACAAAAAACAAAAATTTAATATAAACTACAGATGAACTACAGAATGACAGAAAACCCAGAAGACCAATCAATGACTTACATGAATGCGGGGGTAAGCAATATGGGGTTCTTCCTTGATCTGATGCGAATCTCTGAATACTACTGCTCTGATTACACCACGAATGTGCTCGTCCGGCCAGACACCCAAAAGAATCCTCTGTGGTCGCCCCCGTCCTTTGGGTCTTAAATCTGCTTAAAAGTTCAAATACATTTCATTAGACCTGCAATCCACGTGGTAGGTGGTAATGTTTAGAAATCAATGAAAAAGTTTTATTCTTATTGTTAAATAAAAAATGGTTGTTTGTAAAGTAGGTTTACGATCGAGATGTTTACGTGATAACGTCTTATTGGTGATATAAGTTTTGTTTGTTGCAATTGTTGTAACACTTCACTTGCACTTCACATTTTGTTTTACTGTTAAACATTCAACGAAAACTAAGGCTCCCCGCACACTACAAACTTTTTATCGGCCGATAGTTTGGTCGGGCTTATAATCAGTATGAAGATGTATGCAAGTCCGCATTCTACAACGATTTTGTATCGGCCGATAAACAAGTTTGATGGGCTACCCAACTGCGTTCAAACTAAACTATCGGCCAACCAGGCCAACTATCGGCCGACTGCGATATCAGTATGGAGCTCGTCGCAAGCGCGCACACCTACCGATTGTTTAGTCGGCCGACTTGATCAATTTAGTTCGCTCAGAGTATTGGTGCAGTCGGCCGACTGTTGTCTAGTGTGCGCACTCACCACAAACCCAACTGTTTAGTTGGCGTAGTGTGCGCGCTCACAGCCCAACCCGATCAAAATATCGGCCGATAAAAAGTTTGTAGTGTGCGGGGAGCCTAAGGTTATAACGAGAGGGGGGTATACCTGCGATCGGCCTCGTGAGGCCTCGCGACACAGTTTCTGAACCGGTCACCCGTAAAACGATTTTAAAGACGTTATCACGTCAATAAAAGATTCTATTTTCTATTAGAACTCACCCGAACCTCCATCGGCCGACGGACCTAACATGTTGTGCACACGGTTTGCATATAAAACAAACGTTGGATACGGAATATCGTATTTGCGTGCTGCCTGGGACAGAGACAGTCCTTCCTTCAACACCGAGAAGATCGCCTCAGCCATCGTCTCTGGCCGCCAGGATTTCAGCGGGCCACGTTCGCGGAAGCGCAGATTGTGGACGAGGCTCTGGTTCGTGTTCCAGCATTTCTGCCACATGGACTGCAGCTGGTACTGGTAGCTGTCTGCTGAAAAATTATTTTCAGTTAGTATTCAATTTATAAAACAAACAACACCAATTTAAAATACAAATAAATACAGAAAGCAAATAAGTAAAGTTTTAAAATAAAAATCGATTACCGCAGAGTACGTTGTTAAAATATCTGAAACACACGAAACATGTAAAATTCTCGTCACAAGATGGAATATTGGAAAAGTGATGAGAAAATGACAGTAAAATAATAAATTACAGAAATAATACAATGCAACTATCATGACGCAAGATAATAAATTTGTAATTATTTTAATTACTTTCCTTAATAACACCACTATATCATCATTCAACTTTGTAATTCAATTTTCTTGGTAATGTCATTTTAAATTCATATTAAAACGTAGAAATATAATTCCACTTGCAAGTCAAATTGCAAAAAGCAAATTATAATGATAAACAAAAATATCGAATTAAAATCATCGGGCATAATAATGAATAATTATACAATATTATGAAATATAGTTAAAGAGTACCGGAGTCAACCGAAGGCAAACAATTCTCTAATGTCATGTCATTAGACAAACGGCCAAAGCAAAAAGGCATTTACTTTAGTGTACATACTTTAGTTTATCATTATTCAAAACAATTATTCCGCCGCGACTGATATGTTTCTCAGAATTGTTTTGCAATCATTTATCATTTACTATTTCACCGCACATCAAATTACCACTTTTCCATGCAATATAACGTAGAATATTAATTAAAGCTGTATAATTGACAATATAAACTTAATGGAACAAATAAAAAATTATACATAGTTTATGTGTTTTCTTTTTTCATGGAATGATAATTTATTTTACATTACCAGTTGGTAGCATTTTAGTGTTTCATTGTTTATACAACTCAAAATAAAATTTCTTTACAATTCTAATAATAACAGTTTTGTGTTCAACGTTAACATTCATAATGTTGTACATTATTGCTTATTTACACGTGTGCGTCGCAAACTTAATCGATATTTAAACAATATCAAACTAATTTGTATGCCGAATCTAAAAATTCGCTTTAGTTTAATAGATTTATTAATTGGAATGATATCGTTTTGAGAATATAAATAATGCCAAATTTTTATAGCTTACATATGTTAAAAATTAAAATATTTGTCATACGATTTATCCAAGCAATAGCCTTATAAAGTAATATCCGATTTATTGCGATTGTCGACAAAATTAAACAAAACTTAAAAATACTTTATTACCAAAAACTAATGGTTTCATTGTCAAATGCAATCAAATTGGAATATGCCCGAAGATGTAAACATGCGAACACATGTCAGCTAGTCTGGGCAGAGACAAACATTAGGAACAACTAATAATAAATAATAATTCACTGCCATTATAATAATGACCATCAGCAATAATGAAAGCTATCGGAATTACAGGCAATAGTAAAAAACTAAATGTCATTCTATAATATGTTTCCCTTTTTAGATATTATTTTTATAACTTTTCTATTATTTGTGTACATAGCGCTGGCTTCACTCCGATTGATAGAAATTCGTGTAAATGTATGCGTGGACGTTATTAACGTCGTTTGTCCTGGCAATAATGGTAAATGTATAAATAATAAAGAAAAATTGTTGTAACATGTGTTTCGCTGGCGTTCGGCAATGTCGGCCATGTCAGTGTCAATCGCTAATACGCGTAATGCGAGCGTGTATTTTATGAACATAAAATAATGAGTAAAAATAAATGTAACTAAACTAAACATGTAATACAATATTGCATGTCGGAGAAATGTACAATCGTACACGACACGCAGAGCATTATTAGCTATGTAATTAGATGCATAAATATAGCTCGCATAAATGCGAACGTTATTCGTTTGTTTGAGTATGCTGTGCGTGTTGTGCACATTGCTTTCGGTGTTGGTTGGTGCCTTCGTTTCTTTCGAGTGTGTTGCGCGGGTGCGTTATGAAAACGTTGCGAGCTAGTACAACAATATTATACACACAATAATATTCACCACCGCGAGTTTAGTTGGAGTAATTGTAATTAATAAATGCATGTACAAAACCAACGCCGGAGTGAAATGCTGCGCCCTATAATATTCCAACTAATTTCGCTTATAAAATTATTAATAAACCTAATATTGCGTCATACGTACAAAATGTTGATAGTTTATACTGTGTAGGGTGGAAAATTGCGAGCGCATGTTTAGAGGAAGCACGTTTGATGCGTCCCGAAAGTTATACCGTACAATCTGCACGCAGTTATTATTTAATTGATAAACAAATAACAATTAATGCGGAATGTTTGTAATGTATACTAAATAATTCGCGGGAAGCGACGCATTTTAATGCTTGCCGTTAAATTTATACTTGTATGGTAGTGTTGCATAATAGAATGCAGCTAAACTTGATAACAACTCAAAACTAATAACATTTAATGCGAAAAACACTCCGCTTTATTGCTAAATTGATATTTATAACTTATGTTCAAATTAAACTTCATTGCTTTTGTACTTTGAGTTAATTTAAGCATAATTCAAAAATAATTTTAGGTAATGGTAAAAGCTTCAGCCCCAAAAACGAAATTAAAAGATGAATGCTACTTAAGTTCACTAATATCAAAACTGGAATAGTTAAAGTCAGTCTTATTCGTGGGAATGCCCGAGTCAGACTTTATTGTGCTTATCGTTGCACTCTTTTTTAATGATTTTCACCGGTGACGATTCGCGCGAGGACGTGTAATCGTCGTACTTGTCATTCTTCCCGGGAGAGTCACCGGAGTTCTCGTAGTACAACGAGACGATGCTATGCTTTTTGCAGAACGCCCACCACCAGCGAAAACCCGACAGTCCAGCGAAAATGAATTCAGGATCGCGCGCGCGTCGCAGTCGCTCCACGAATTTCAACACCGCGTGCAGCGACTTTTTCGTGCGTCGATTGTACGGTGACACAGACACATCGCAACAAAACTCGAGCACGTGCTCTTCTTCAGACGGCGTTAAACCAGCTTCCTCTAAAACGGCCATCCGCTTTGTTTTTCCAAGTATATTATCGTACAGCGTACCCTTTGGTATGCCGTACTTTTGTGACGCTTGCGTGAAGCGCATTTTTTGCTTTACAACGGCTTCGATGGCTTCCTTGAGCTGATCCTGCGTCCATGTCGGTGTTTTTAACTTTAATAGAGGATATTCTAATAACAAAAGGTGAAAACAAAATAAAACACAAACCAAAGATGGAAACAAATGAAAATCATAAATTACAAAATAAAAACAATTGAAGAAAAACAAAGCACGTCGAAAGAGTAATAATAAATTAAGAACCAATCGTAATCCCGAAAAGGCGAAGGAAGCGAGGAGAAAGAACAAAAGGAGACGTCGAGGTAAATTATAAAAGTACCGATTTGTATGCACGCACGTCACGAGAGAGCACGCGGGCGGCGCGGCGCGTTGAATAGAAATAAAAATTAATCATGTAAATGTAAATTGAAATGAAGTCGGACGGAGGGGTTTCGAATAACGAGCGGCGAACGCGCCGGCCACCCACAAACTCTACTCTCCCGGCTGCGTATAATAAGTAATAACCAGTCGGGCACACTTACAATGCGCCAAATCAGCCTATAAAATAAAGCTATAAAACGCTGCCGGTGTTGCGCCTCGACGCTGCAAACGTAATATATTTAATAAATAACGCTTGCCCAGAGAGCTTACTATGCCCTTGAGAAGAAAAAGGCACGTTAATCGACGCGTGTATCGAAATTAAAAAGAAGAACAACTTCAAAACAAGCATAAAGCTTAACGAGAAAACTTTGATTTTGTTGGGCGATTTCATTTCAGAGCCGTTGTACTGCAATAATGAAATTTGTTTAAATATTAACAATTTTATTCACTTTCGACATAAAATGATTGGACTGCCTTGTCTAATCCCTACTTCCGAACTGAAATCAAAACAACATAAAACTAACTAAAAAAATTAATTAAATTTATTGATCATCGTTCGACAGAAAGGAGGCCTGATTCAACCGCGCTCGAAATAATTAATACAGCCGAGTCGGGCACCGTCGTCGCCTTGAATAATTTTAATTAAATAGATAATAGTTTTAATTATGCACACAGTGATTATCGTCGGATACGTGATACAAATTCGTACGCAGACCGGTAAACGAGTGGAAAACGCATTGGAACGATTCGTCATTAATGATTCCATTACATGGGGAGACCGTCGGTGCGACCCCGACGCAAACGCGATACTAATTTATTTAACCACTTTGTTATTTGAATTTCATTGTTGTGAAATAATGATATTTTTAATTGTTAATAGAACGGCGGGACGCCACGGCACCGGCTTCATAGGTGGGCTTCGGCGGCCATGTTAATTGGTGTAACAACCAGAGAGGAGCGAATACGATCAGATCAACTTGCTACTTCTTTCTCGGACGGTTCGGAACGGCTTAAAATCGATATAAAAGTAAATTCCATCGTGCATTCAATGTACTCCATCACACAATGTAAAGTCGCAAGTATTGTGACAGGTTATAAGTTATTTTATTTAAAAAATTCATTTTTAATCTTATTACCATGCTGCATTTTTAAGTATTCGAATGCGAAAAGAAAATAAGTTGCACGATTAGCATCAAAACAATCGCATACACGCACGTATATTATTCAGTTATTCAGCAACAATCTATGAATAAAAGAAGCAAGCGTATTAGTTGTAAATTTATAATAATTTGGCCCGCTTGGGGGCCAGAATGCAATTTCCTGCCCCGCAGTTTTATTTTATATTTCACAAACGAACATAACACGCGCTCTCCGCTTTGCACAATGACTGGCGAAAAATTTCCCTGGTCGTTGCGTATTTTTTTCTACGTACAGTAAATAAAAACACTGAATCATCGGCATCCCGGCGGCAGACGCACACAACTTGCAAGATGAAATTAATTATGCACGCACTTTTGCATTAAACGTATAAATAAATTACAGTATGATTAATATTATAAATATTAACGAGAAAATTAAAGATATAAGAATGCTGTCTGATCGGTTAATCTCTGAACTGATGACAATCTTGAAAATGAATATTAATTGAGCGGCGTCGAGAGAGGAAATATAATGTATCAAATAGAAAATTTGTTTGAAGGAATTTTAAATTCATTAATTATAGGCTGGAAATAGGTTGGACAGAAATAATAGACATTTTCAAATTTATATCGAAGAAATTTGAACTTACTAACTATTTTAATACTTACCGGCAATCGATGAAGTTGATGCGCCAAGCCATGCGTGTGAAGATTCCAATAATTTAGCCTGCAAACAATTAAAAAATAAATTAGTGCGATTCGAATCAATCATGCAATAAAATAAAAATGAACATGTTTGCGATTCTCACGAAGAAACAAGTTCCCGAACTTGGCAAAAGAGGGCGCAATATGTACGATTTGAATAAAAAGTTGTACATAATATTAAAATGAAATTTATTTCTATTATCTTAATATGCAACATATTTTAAAACGAAAGACTAAATAAAAATAACTATTTCATGCGTGTCGTATGTAAATTAATTAAGGCTTGGCGTTTGTTACAATAAAAAAGAATTTATTTATAATAGATGTCCAGATACCGTCCAAGGTGTAATTTAATTATTCTGTAATATTTTCTGCGCCGTTCCCAGCTTATCAGTGACAATCTCCAGGCCGAGAAGCACAAAGAAATGTGCCTTCGCCATTAAAGCATATTCCACCAATGTTGCCCTCGTCTATTATAACTCATATAATATACAACCACCATTAAAAAGTTACTATAATAATGCATATAAACTAGTAAAACAGTAAATAAAACGTTTGCATTAATATAATGAATTGCATCACGTCATTTGTTCTATTTTAATCAATATTTGCATTATATGCTTATGTACCCAGCAAATGACTAATTAATTACCAGTTAATAGCAAGACTTTTTAAAAGATGAGTGGGATATTTTAAAATGTTTTCGAAGTATTGGTTCGTCATATAATTTTTTCTTGTACATTGCAGGACAAAAAAATTCATTGTTTTATGTCTAACGTAACAGAAATGTAGAACATTTGACTTTATTTTGGACGGAAATATCTATCATAGTTAAGTCTTCCTGAGTTATTTCGCACACACAAAGAAGCCTGTTTTGCTAAACATATTATACCAACATATTTTTTTCCAAAGAGTGTAAGGTCGTAAGAATATCAACATCTAAATTTTACACATACATTATGCTTAAATAATATAAAATGCCTTGATTTATTGTTATCGGAAGTAATTTAATACAATTTCATGACTGCTAACGTCGTCCTCGCCTTGTTTCGCACTCTCTGACAACAACAAAATGAAACACTCATTTGAATAAATATATGAAGAGAACCGCGAACAAAAACACCTCATAAAAACTTAGGTATTACACGTATATAAATACGAATAATAGTGAAATGAATTAAAACGCTATAATTTTGTTTGATAACCACTAAACTTTGTTAGGATATTCAGTAGAAAAAACATATTTGATAAAACAAAATATTATTAGTCGTTTTGGGGAGCATTTAAGAAATTGAAACAATTGATCTAGAATTCGATTGTAAAAAAATAAGCTATAAAAAATTGGAGCAGACGGGAACGGAATAAAGAGACGAATGGCAAGAAATGTGCCGACCGATTGGGTAAATCGGTAAATTCGAGTTCGTGATGCCACTTAAATACATCACAAACGTCAATAAAGTACGCTCCTAACGAGCTGGCCTCCAGTCGTAAACTCGCGAGGACCTTTGGAGCCGGCGCGCAGATATAGTCATAAACATAACGCGACAAGCGGAGAAATTGTTTTATGCCCATCGTCGACATCGTCGTCTCGTGGTCCCGCAGGCCCTTGCGAGCGCGTTGCTTGAGGTCTTGATCTCTCGCTGCAAGCGCTCTCACGTTACTCATGCGAAATATTTAGCATCGGTAGCAAAGCCCAGCGTGCATTCGGAAAATGTAAATTGTGAATTCAATTTGAAATTGAAATTCTTATTTGGACAATGAACGAATTCGCAAACGATGCGCGGAGAAATATGATTACGACGCGTGTGTTCCTGGCTCCTTTGCTCGCTTATGCGGTTTCCCACATCTCTAAAGACTTACTCGTGGTTAATTTTCATGCGCAATGTGAGTGTGATTTTGTTGAGATTTTGGTGCGGTTTAATTTGTTGGGTGAATCGAGTAGGTTCATGCCAGAGTGGACACGGAGGTGCGGGCCGTGTGTCATGAGCTTTTCACGAGTTTCATGACAAAAAGCGCGGCCCGCATTGTGTGCACGGCCCTCTCGTTTGTTAGCACGTTAGCGCGTTTGGCGCTTGGTGCTTCGGCGTGCGCGAGAATCGGGAGTGTGCTGGCGCGGATGGAACGTATGAAATCGACGCGGTTAACAACAGGTGGGTGAAAACTACACGCGCCGAACGATGAAGCCACCGCCGCAACAGAGCGTATTCCTTCTATTTTTGTTTTATTATTTGCCACTCTGCACAAAACCAAACCAAACAAATTTACACAGAATTCATTTTCACAGAATTCATTTTCACATATATTTATCAATTCATATACCTATGTAAAATTAAAGAAATTATTTTAAATTGCGCCAATTTGACTAAAACATTTCATCACCTCGCAATTTTCTACCAAACAATTAACTAACCCACGATTCCGAGTTTTCCTAACAGAATATAAATATGTCTATTTGATAAAACTTTGCTTTAATTTACATTTGGTAGTTGCATATTTTGCAGTTTCATTTCGACGTCCGTTTCCACTTAAACTCGATGACGACTTTGACGATGACGAGGACGATGTAGAGAAGACTCCTATTATAATACATCAACTTGTCAAAGCCACACGACGATGGCTTTGATATGCATTTCTGTCATCCCGCCGTCATCGCGTCCCATTAAATGCACATCGTCGACTTTACTGACATCGGCGCTAGTAAAAAAAACGTTGCAATTTGTTCATGGAATAAAAATAATTAAACAAACGCACTCTGATTACTTTACAACGACCGTAAATACGCCTATTGTAATGTGAGGTTTTTTATTTTTGTGGCGTATAATATCAAAAAACCGCTTCGCTGATTCGTCTAATAGACATGTATTTTCGTGTTCAGCTTTTCATACACTGTCACAATGCATGAAATCAATTATCGATGGAGTTGCAAGCAACAATAAATTAACTTAGATATTAATGACTCGGCAATTATTCATGTCTAACATTATAAAGAACGCATTTATAATTGTGCATATAATTGCCCGTTAATTTGTTCACAAGAGCATTTAAACATTGTTTTACTAATGTATAGATTTTCGTTAAAAAATGTTAATGCAGACATGAATATCAAATATATACAAGTGAAATAATATGATACTGCTTGTTTTGTAAACATTTCGTATTGTTACAATTCAACTTCGCTTATTCAGTTTTTTCAGCTAGTGATGTAAATAGAATTATGTTATAAAAAAATAAAAATAAAAAGTAATGACGACATGAGTTGAACCCACGAATGCGCCATGATTTCATACACGTTAACGTTAATTTACTGCACAACGTGTACGTGTGCACGTTCGTTATGTTATGATATATTAAGTCACAAATTAATTATACTCGGCTTGCATTCATACTTGCGTTACGCCTGTACACCGCCACCATACGTTGCATGCCGATTGCCCTTATTATTATATATTACAATATAAGTGCAATAAAAAATGTTATTATAAAATAATCATCGCCAGGCATCCGTTCCACCGCCGGCGCCAATCCTTCGCATGCGTTGTAAAAAATACCGCGAAAAAGAACCGAAGACTAAACAAAAGAAATACGAAAATAAAAGAGGTTTTCAATTACATTATGCGAAGATGACAGCCTTTATTTTTATTGTGAATTGAATGCATGCACGAGTTTTGAAAATTGTAATTACAGATGACGTTTACATGTAATTATCGTGTTCTTTTTTTCTTTCCCGTTGTTAATTTATATTTCACATGAACAAGTTTTTTGTTGTTGAATTTTAAGTAAAGTAATTCATGTGGTACTTATAAGTACTATTATGACCGAATTGTACATTGTTCAAGTTCGAACTGTAAACAACACATTAGAAATTTATTGATATTTAAATAAATATGCGATGAGTTTACACGTCGCATATGCGATTTGTAAAATTACAAAAGCAGCAGTCGTGTAGGAGGGCGTTGCTGATGGGTTGAAGTTGGTGTGCCGGGGAGTCAGGATACATTACTATTGATGACGCGATGGCGGCAGCAATGCATACAATCATCACATCGCGTCGTTCGCTGTTTCATTATTAATCTCCTCGTGTGTGTCGCGCTCAAAGAAAATGCTGCTAAATAATTAAGCGCGATTGCACACGATGGAGGCTCCTGCATGTATCGAGTGTTGCTCTGCGGACGTATCAATGCACGGACGCACATCGGCTGCAAGCTGTCGATCGCAAATAAATGTCAAACACAGCTTCCAAATGCGCTAATGCGCGGGTTTGTAAAATTCGAAGCGAAGAGTGCGAAAGATGCCGCGAAGAGGACGGGGAATTCGCACTCGCACAAAGCACGTAATTACCACCGGCAACTGATTCGCACCCGGCGGCGCAGGATGCATTGACGGCTGTCAGTTACACGTACGCGTTCGGCTGTCGCATTTTCGGTTTGTACTTTTGTGGAATATTTGAATATTCGTAATGGAAATCCGTGTTTTGGCCGAAACGGCGGCGGGCCCGCGGAAAATTGCCGCCGATTTATTTAAACCCAAACAAAAACGCGGTTTGCAAAGCTGCTACTCAGTGATTCGGTTGCCTGGTGCATGTAGAGAAAGGCATAAATATGCACTGGATGATAATGTAGGTATACCAGATATCCAGATGTTGTCTCGACAAAACGTGCAACTTTCAAACAATCCGTGCTGTCTGTGCGGTGCTACAGGCCTACGTACTGCTGGTTTGCATGCATGAAGCAAATAAATAACGAATTAAAATATTCCATATTTATGAATATGCGAATGATATGGTTACATGAGTCGTGTGCTAAAATGAAGAATCGCCATTTGCATAATGGAACATAACATTTAATAGCTCATACGTGATTTATTCTTTTCTGACTGAGTGCTGCAAAAATTAATCTCACAAGATGGAACAATTAATGTGTATTAATGCCCATCTGATAACCAGCTTGTTGTGCGCGAGGTGTTCGTGCGTAATCGGTTATCACGGAAGGCATTAGCGCCGCCGACGATTAATCGGCGTGTTCC